TTTTAATTTTTATTGAATTTTTAATGCATAGTTCATTAGGTTTTAATGTTAAAACATCTTATATTCTTTTTTATTTTATAAAAATCATTTTCTTTATAAGTAATCTGGAACTCCTTCTTAAGGGAAGATGCAAAACAATGTTACTATTTAAGTATTTTAACCTGTAGGACCATGTTACCAGAAGAATAGAAGCCTGTATATAGAAACAAATCAAGTACTGTAGGCCTACCTATGGATATTGAATTTAAGGTAAAAATAACAAGATAAATATTTCAATTTGTTTTATTTGCAAGCATTTTTTATATTGTTATTTCATTGTGTTTCAACCACTATTTCAATTGTGCAAAGACAGTCTGGAGGTAGCATAAATTAATGAGCCGGTTCGTTATAACCTAAACTTTACCTTCCTAATCGAACCTAACTTCAAAACACTTAATACAGTCACAAATTCACATAAAACCCAACCTACCTTCCCCACATGCCTAACTAAGAGCTGATTATTTAGTTTCAAAACAATTTGATTTAATTTCGCATTGAGTCAAGTATAAACAGCTGTTTGCTTTGTTCACACAGTCCTCAGCCCACATTCGGACCCGTCCAGACCACGCCATATTACCATCCGAACCGCGAAATGAACCTTAGATTCGTAATTTTAGCCTTCGTTTTACATCCACTTAGGAATCTTTCCGACAAAAACGGATTGCATTTTTGGAATCAGAAAAATACTGTAAGGAAACATCTAAAAATTACACCATTTCTCAATGTAGACATACTAAATAATTGCCAAATATTTTATCGGATGAGTAAGTTAGATACATTTAATCTTAACAATGCATATCAATATTTATCCGATTCAATTTTTCGATTAAAAAAAATTCTTTTTTTCCAATGTATGTCGTTAAACATCAAATTGATTTATGGTTGGTACGGTTTTTGTTCATACCTATTTAAGAAATTAGGCTAAACTACTGTCTAGGACTAACTTACAATTTGACCAATAATAAATAATAAGTTAGGCCTATTAAAAAGAAAGGGTACAGTTTCATATCTTTGGCACAAACAACCGAATGAGTAATATTAATTATTCGATTGTTTAATTCGATATATCGATCTATATTACTCATTCGGTTGTTTGTGCCAACAGATATGGAAGTGTACCCAAAAGAAACAAAACAAATAGGCCTAGGCCTACATAATAACATAACGACCAAGGATAAAACAATAAAATGCTTCTTTAATGTTTGGTTACCTCGGTAGGTGTACCTATGGCTCTGGGAAGTGGGATTTTTTAAACGTTATTTTTTTTATTTATAACTTATCATAGCCTATGGTAAATGTATGATGAACTTAAATTCAATAGGCCTAGGCCTACGATATTAAGTTAAGTTAAAATCAAACCGATAAGTAGTTATTCATCTGATAAAATAATTAAGTTATTGTTGGTTCTCTGCGAAACTGTAACTTACCCAGTAGGTAACATAGGTAAGGAAAATAGCCTACATTTTTATAAACTCGTGAAAAAGATCAAAGTTAACTTACCGTAGCCTAACTTATGTATTTAAAAATTTATCTCTTTAGCAAATCATACACAAAAGATTCATGTTGATTTTTAGAAATGTTACCTTTGTTATTAGGCCTATTATAAACTAAAAAGTAGGCTACACAGTGTAAAGAGTCTCCTTAAAAAAAGATCTTAGGCATAAATTGTTCAATATTGAAATAGGCCTTGGCCTACATGATAAATAGGTACGGTAAGTTGTATCGCCTAAAAGTGAACCGATTACGATAAGTTATCGCATATTATATTAAGTTAAACAAAAATATTTCATCTGATAAATTATCGTAGGCTAGGTTCTCTGCCAACCTGTTCCCCTGAAGATGGGTAACTTAATCTAAGTAGGCCTAACTTACTATAAGGACACAGATATATAGTAGCTAAAATAAAGTTATAGGATACATTACTTTTTTAGGTAAGTTAGGGTTATATTAAAGCCTACCTTTCTTAGTTTAAACTTTCTACCGTAGGCCTACATTCTTTGACGGTGAAAAACACATTAAACACAGATTGTTGTATGAACAAATAAACATAGTACTGTGACATCATTAGACACAGATTTTTAACAAAACACTTGACAGGCCATACCTAGGCTAGGCAACACGGCCGTCTAGGCAATTAATGTAACAGACACACTTTACACAAAACAACGTTACATGACACAGCACTTCCTCGCTTCACCGCCTTCCTTCAAAAGTTTATACTGTTTAAGGCTATATTTTGAAGTTAAGATTATCTACCTCAGCATTCTGATTGTCTGTCTCACCATTCTTCCACTGCCTTGGTACAATCGATGAAGACCTGTGAGCCCAATTTCATGTCTGCTCGAACAGTACGTCTTGATCTTCACTTCTTGGTTATCTGCGTAGTCCTTTTGTTATGGGCCCTTAGCAGCATTATTTTATGTGGGCTAAGTTAGCTCTTTGAAGCAGTAGGTTCCCACTTATTGACCTACAGTATTTAGTGTTCAATACTTGATGAAGGGTCCATAAGCTCAGTTTACACATAGTCGACTGAGAGTTCAATATTAAACTCACTAAAATTTGTCACTTATTCAGACCAAAGTCGGGAAAGCTCCTTCCTATTGCCTATTCTTGTGTCCATTGGCTGAGTTTCATCCACTCTTCATCAGAACTGAGTCTACTTGTTTTAGGTTAACCTTAACTTAATGAATGAGGTTTGAGTTGAATCTAAAATGCAGTTTGATTGCATTACTTACCTACGTAATTTAAATGGATAGGATTTTATTCACAAACTTTTGAAACCTACTTAGGTTGCCGTCTTATTATCAATTAGCAGAATGCACTAAACCTTGAGGAGTATGTTCTAAGACTAAACTTAACTTAAGGCAGCATTTCTGATTCTGATTCTGTCTTAGTTAGCGAGTGAACTGCAGACGACCGATGAAAAAAAGATATATTAAATGAAAAAAACCTTATTTGATAAAAAAAGTCTTAGTACTTATGTTATATCACTAATACAGTAATATGAAAGTACAGTAACTTATCTAAATATTTTGGGGCAGCATTTGAATGACTGACTGAATAGATAAAGCCACCGACGCGAGAACTGAAATTTAATTTAGAACAACAAGAACGAAAATAACTAAAACCATTGATTATTAGATAGTGAAATCTTATCTAATATTAATTAGTCAAAGATAACACTTAACTTTTAGCAAGTTAGGAAACAATAAGTTAGTAGACTTTCACCCACGGCATCGTTTACCGTCGCGTCGTACTTATTATATAGCATTGCCTACTGAAGAAACGTAGCTTGTAGAATAAACATGTAAATATTTATTTTACAATCAATTGCGATACATTTTAGTAGATAATTTGTTAACTCCTGCCAGTATTTTCGTAAATACATTATTATCCTAGAAATTGTAGAGTTATAATGTGAATACGGTTTTACTGTTACTCTATGGATGAAAGAGTAGTCGTTCTCTTTGTCTCAAGTAAACGACAAAATTGTAGGTCGTAAAATGTAAACAAATAAAAAGAAGAAAAAGGTAGCTCATAATGTTAATCTTATGGGACAAAATTAAAAATGTTTTTTTAAGATTTTATAATAATTACGGAACAAATATTTTTCAACAACTAATGGTCGCAAGATAAAGTGGTATAGAATCTTTGTGCAACACATCAAGTTTATAACTTTAGGCATTCTCGAGATTTCGATCAACATAAAGATGCATTTCACCCCAGTATGAGAATTCACTTCGTTCATTCAAAAAAAATAAGTCACTATTATATACTAGTGTCTTCCTGTTTATCAAGTATGATCCATTACTTATACGCTTTGACCTAATCCTGATATAACTTGGTTTCATAGTGTTAGAGAAATGCTATAAACAACAAAACCAACAACGAAAACGAGTTTTTAGGACAGCAGATGCAATTACGAGCGATCTACATTATACGGTACTGTAAATTACCGTTGCATACAGAAATATTGCATTACAATTTTAAGTTATTGAATATACCCATCAGATGAACAAGAAAGATTGATTTTGTTATAAAAAGTTATGAAGTCATTATAATTTTAATAAACTTGTTTGATATAACCTTAGGTTTATTTTTCGTGCAATTCATCCTAAGACGATCACTAAATTCTAACAACACACACAAACAAATCAATCCATTCTACATTTCAAATATACACAGCTCTAATTGAACCTTAAATGTGCAGTAGTCCAAAGGAAACTGTTCTATTTTAACAAGGCGTTCAGGTATGCAATTTGAGTACATGTTCATATTGCGTGCATTATTTTGAAGGGACGCTCTTTCAAATTCGCCTCACGTGTATGTTTTGTATTCTGACTATTTTTTTATTTTATTTTCTGTAATGCTTCTTGTTATATAGATCATTGATTCAAAACTATTTGATGATCAATAAGAATTAATCAAATTTATACGTACATTATTTAAATCCTACAAGTTTCCTTCTTAAATAATGTTGAAATATTATCTACTCTGGAACAAATGAAATTGAATCGATTCGTCTTTGAAATGTATGGCTTTAGTTAGAATAACATTATAAGATTAAGTTAATACAGTGATTTATTAACTTGTTAATAGTTAATAATTAACTAATAAAGTTTCTAAAATTATTAAGATACTAACAAAATATCAATTACACCCAAATACTCATTTTACATTTTTGACTTTAACAAAAACATTAACAAAGGGGTTATTATATTATGTGTTTAATAAAACTTTTCCTGTATTCTATCATGCTGTTTTCGTGTTAATTTCGAGCTTCAGTAGTTTATAATATTATCGTTAGTGAGATCAATGCGATGCAACATTTTATTACTGATACTGAAATGTGTAGTAATGTTAGCGTTACTCGAAATGGTGTTACTAAGATGTGCAGTTAGTTCTATATACTGAAATAAGACGGCTACATGGTCAAAAGCGAGGCAAGCCTTTTTTCTTACCCCGGAAGTCATGTGTGGCCTCATTCAAAAAACAATCTCAACCTAAGCTGAGCACATCTGAAACAAAATGCACTCTTCAATTTTTAGATAGTTTTCCTGCAATGGAAATTCTATAACACATTTTCAGAGCTCTAAAACTGCCACTAAACAATTTTGATATGGAATTTCATGTCAACGTATCAGGGTTACTCACAATCATACCTTCAAACGTTACCTTCTACAAAAAGTTTGTAAACTATGTTTTTAAAAACTGCAATTTAACCCTGATTTTAAATAAGCACAAGGAAAATGCCCAACAATCTCGCAAGTCAACATTCAAAGTCGCATCAAACCAATTATTTACTCATTTAGAATACGTTTCCTGCCAATCATCAGCGACCCATTAGATGTTTAAGCTGAGTAGAGTCAGATCTTCTGTGTTATTATGTCGTACAATCGGTGTGATTACTTGCTACTGCCATCTAATTATCATAAAAACCACAGTTTCATCCGACAGTTGTGCTACTCGGATGTGTTATAGTTCCAATCAGCTGATGTTATCAGGACTTCTACAGTAGACATTGGCGAGATGTCTACAGCTGCATCGTCGTCGTCTACTCTAATGTCCACCCAGACTCTGGATCTGGTAGTTGGTCGTATGATGCGGAGTCGTAAACGACTTGGATACGACTACGGTAATGGGTCAGGCCTGTGAAATGGTGCTCAGTATGTTGAACTACTAACGACCATTAACGTTTTGAAAAACAATCAAATCCTGATTTTTTAAATTCAAGTCATGTAAGTAAATACTCAATATAAATCACAATTTGTAATATGGCTTAAGTAATTACAACATGGTACTAGTAGAGATATTTGGTAGAGCTTTGTAGCTAGATACTCGAAGAGTTGCAAAGTGTTTCACCTCGTCTACAGTTCATCGATGGTATCAGCCGCTTAAATAAAGCTAGATGGAGTGGTGCGTGCCACTGAGGTTGTAAATAAAGGCCAGACAGCCGTCTAGGGGGGTGCTGGGGGCGCATCGCGGCTCTTATCATGGTTTGTGGGCCACGAGGTCGATGGACTAAGGGACTGTAATGATGGACTACATCGGGACTTATCTATGCCACCTGTAAACCGAAATCGATAAGGTCACTTCGTCCTACATATAAGTTTTGCTCCAACTTCCTCACATTCAGTCGCAATGTAGATAGATGCATATGAAACTTTTCCTTGTTTGACCTATACGTTATAATATAGTAGTATTATTTTTATGGTAACTAAATTATTTATGATCAATAGACATAAAAAATGTGATGTACCTTACAGACAAAACTTTAAATATATATGAAAAATTTCCCCCTGTTTATGATTTCTAAGCCATGACAAAATTCTCATGAATCGGTTGTCGGTGCATCACTGCATCAGAAACTGTAGAAAACACATAGATATTGTTAAGCGAGTGAAATGGAAACGTCAATTTTACGACTTCAGTTAAACATATTGACATTAGTCCAACATACAACACATTGTGCTAAAGTAAGGTGGTTAGGTAGATGTACAATGTTTGGAATAGGTAATAGCAAACATATCTGAATAGACAGACGAACAACACGGCAACACAAGACACGCAACACGCGTGCAAGTCCTCACGCATCATGTCAGTGGAGGCCCTGGTCCTGACCACCGTGTGTAGCCAGAATAGCCCAGAAAGTATTGTCTACAATAGACTTAGTTACTTAGTAGAAATTGGCAATTTTCGATATTGAGGTTAGTTGTTGAATATTACCCAATCCCTCATTAGTTGTTAGACGTCAATTATAACACAAGATTACAAAAGAAATATTTTATGTAATATGCAAAGCTTTGTGTACGTAGGTGTCGGTGTTTTTAGTTTATCTGTTTAAAGAAATACTTTTGAGGTATTCAAATATTTTTTAGGCCTGTAGACGTAGAGATTACTCAATTTAAAGTAAGTACGATAGCTTTAAAGTAGATAGCTTACGATCTGTACATTTTGAAAAGTGAATTTGATTAGAAACTAGCTATCGTGGAGCACGCTACCAATAGCTTGTCCAACCATTTTATTCCACGAGTTGATTACTGCAATAAACCTGGCATATAGCCCGGTATCCCCACAAAGGTATAAACAGTTATAAATCATGTGAATCTGATTTTAAGGGGCACTTAACCGATATATTAGCCTCAGGAGTATAAAGACGTTTAACGAACTAAGTAGTTCTTGATTCTGTACCTACACGACTACTGTAGCATGAAAATTCAACTTTGCAAATCCAAGTTTTAACACATGCAATTTCGGCTTAACAATTACCAACCTTAACAAGTACACACATACGTTCACACCATGTGTTTTCTTTTATACGCGTTTGTTTAGCAGAAACCTACATACCATCCAGAGACATGTATCAAAGAAAGTACCTATTGATGTTAGCTTGTACAAAGATGATAATGATCTCCAATTAAAAGGTAATGAACAATAGGATTCTTGCCTTCTGACGAAAGAAGAACCTTTCTTTCAGTCATGCAAGAAGTAGTGTTGTCTGGCCGACCACCGCGACACCTGCAGTCATCAGGCGGAACTGCATTGTTGTCATTGCCTTGCAATGCTGACACCAGACACCACAGCGGGAGAGGTAAGCGAATCATCCCTGACAACCGGATAAAGGTCTGTAATAGCAATGAATGTTTTCTCTGGGGAGAAAATAGACAGAGAGATAACCAAGTCTCTATGATTTCAGAAGACGATTGTCGTCAAGTACTTGACGAATTAAGAGTCTTCCGTAGTGGAAGCCATGTTGGATTTCTTCCCCATAAGAACAATGTTAACTTTGGGTCCAAATATCTCATCAGCAAATTGTCATATAATTATGGATAAGGAGTTAAATTTAAGGAATTGTGGTCCTCTAGAGATTGACGTTTTTTATTTCACATTTTTTAATTTTTATAATGAATAATTGATTATTAATTAGCTTAAAATTAAGCTAATTATTGAAAGGAAATGAAAATGGATTTTCGAAATTCAAAAACCTCAGTCACGAGTCTATTATGTTAAAAATACAAATTATAAATTTCAAAGCTATATCTTAACAAATAACGCCGTTACGTGTCCACAAATGATGCAATTCTAACATTGTTCTTATGGGGAAGAAATCCAACATGGCTTCCACTACGGAAGACTCTTAAACATCTCTAATTTATAATATAGAAGCATTTCTATTGCTCAAACCGTGGTTAGGTAGTAACTGGGTTTATTTTAATTAATTTACCGGTGTTTGTATTTTTATTTTGTGTACATACAGTATATGCCTGTGGCAATTTTATGTTTTGTTAGGAAACAGCCCAAACCCTGGTCTTGTTACTATATATAACGTCGAACTTTGTTAAATTGATTATCCAATGACAAATACCATCAGAGTAGTTATGATCTCGCTTGAGCAACTTTACACCGAGTAATTTATTATTCACAGTTTGGAAAAGTAAATATAACAGTGCACTGTTATTTAGTATTACATTTGCAATAAATTATAAGTTAGTATACCTGTTTAGCAAAGAACAGATACGTAGATGAAATAGGAAAAGATCCATCTTCCCCACAATTTCCGCAAGTCACCTCAACGATTGTTGGAGACATATGTGTGTTTAAGTTCACATATAAAATGTAATGTTATGAGACAACTGTTGGTACGAGTATTGTCTGGTGATCATTTGAGCATTTAAATGCATTTGTAGGATGAATACATGCGTAGGTAAAATTAGTTTAGCTTATCACATTCGTCTTCCCAAACTTTAATGACTCGATTATCTCTTCTAGCCATTTAAACTACCCACATAGCTCACAAATTTAATGTCTAGAATTAATTTCTTTTCAGATATATTTTTAGAAGTTTAGATTGATAGCAAAAAAGATGTTGCGAATCTTAGTTTTATACGGGGTCGGAATTTCATATGTTCAATAGTATTGCAAGAATGTTTTAATGTTAATCCAAGCCATTGATGTTAAGACATGGATCAAAAATATGTCTCATTTCCTCTATCTATTTTTTTATTACAATATCAAACTATGTACATTAAGTTATGAAAACAAAACATTTGGACGAAAAATGATAGGAAAATATATCTCAAAAGGTTGCAGTTAAATTTTTGGACAATCTGTTTGTACATACATTATTATTGTATTCGCCATCAAGGTGATGCGGGAGGCACCATCAGTTATATGGAGACTTTAGAAGGATCTCTCCATTACATGCATATTTACGGTAAATTATCTCAACATATTGATTGCAGGGGTCCATATAATTTCATGCAAAACACTAAAAGGTATCATGTCGAAGTTTTCTTGTGTAATTTAAGCCAAACTTCAGAGGTAATGAACAGGAATAAAACTATTTATTTTACAATAAACTTCAACCATGAAATAGATCGACTGTAAGAAATCTTCACAGAAAAGAAAACAGCTTCCGCGTAGGAAAACGACGCAAAAATCGAAGAAAGCGTCGCGAATCGGAGAAATACGTAGTGTCACAATTACAACAACTACAGTGCATGACCCGAAACCGACGTTGTGCTGCCTGCTATAGGACCTGGCCTCTGGTGTACCAGAAGGACTAACTGCTTAACATTATATAAATGTTTGATGGACCGATTTTAATATCTTAACGACTTAGCTCTCTGGAGAGGTAGTTTTTTTTTTCAATATTACATGTGATTAAAAATTAACGGAAGTGTATTACATTAAATATTTTTCAACTTGCGTTATCTCTGGTGGCCTGATGAAATAGCCAAAGAGAAGACCAGGCTGAAGAAGTACTGAATTCAATACGAAACGATTTTTATAGTTAGATTTTACTATTTGGAATCATAATTTATTTTGCATTGATACAAAAATTATCACTGAATTTATAAACCAAATCATAACTCAAAAGTTGTTTAATACGGGAGTTTTACAGACGTTACAAAACGTTCGTGTAGAGTGCTACACATTGTGTAGTAAGTGTATAACGAGTAGTTGTAAGTAACGAGTCTAAGAGGTAACCTACTACAACACGTCACTGTTAGAACCA